CTGTCTGCGTGCTGGGCTCTTGTATATGATATGCGTGTCCTGGTTTTATCGTCTTCTAACGTATTTTTCTTTGTTTCTTTGTTTCTCTCTCTGTGGAAATGCTGCGTGCAGCCCACGCTGGTGAAGCTGGTGGTGGTGGAATTGAGACTCACATGCGCATTTGCACTTCTCTTCTCTTCTGGGTTTCTGCGTGCGTCTGCATGCATGCAGACGTTAGATGTTTTTTTTGTTTTTTTTTTGCTTTTTTGCGTTCTCTGTTCCGTAGTCATGGAGGAGCCGGCTGACGTTTCCGCCAGCGTGCCAGGAAGAGTGCGTTCACTGATTGCCGCAGAGGAGGTCGGACGCTGAGGCGCCTTCTCCGCGCGTGCCGACGCCCCCTCAGGTGTGTGGACAACGGCCTGAAGTCATGTGCCACGTTCTCTCGCTGGAAAACGTCTCCAATGAAGCTTCCAGCGGCGTGGATGAACGGGGGCGGCACCAGGCGTCACTCGCAGAAAAAGACGCGTTGGACGTGATGGCGCCGCGGGAACGACTCCCCGCTGCATGCCACAAATTGGCGATGCAATGTCTGACGTACAGCAGGGTGGGGAACGCCGTTGTGCGCTCTGCGTGGGACAGTCTGCCCAGCCCAACAAATGTGGGCGCTGCTTTGCCTTCGTCTGCGCTGCGCATTTACGCGAAGACACAGCCGTCGCTGACGCGTCGCCTGTCGTGGGGGAAGTTCACGCTGCAGCGGAGCCAACATTCGCCACCCATTAAGCCAGCCGCATGCACCGCCACAGCTGCACCTGACGTCACCGTGAAGAAGTCGCTGGCGCAGTTGCAGAGGAGGAATTCTCCGGAGCAGGCCGTGCCGCCAAACAAGCACGCCCTTTTTGACCAGGCATACAGGGGACTCATGCGAGAGCGAATGATCCTTGAAAAGCTAAACGAGATTGTGGAGGAGGTTCGTGACGCGGCGTACGCTGCGGATGCTGAGGAGTGTGACGGACTGCAGGTGGTGCACAACCCCCTCGCAGACGCCACCCTTCCGCTGTGGGCAGGAGAGATGAGGAATGCTCCAGCAGCCGCCGCGGCACAGACATTGCCTGCGTTACCGTGCATTTGTCAGCGACAAACGGTGTGCTGCAACTCCAACAACCCCTCAGGCGTGGGCTCTTCTTTTGCCGCGTCGCCACCCAGTCCGCGGAGGGGCCTGACGGCCATGCTGCAAGAACAACGCGAATCTCTGGGAATATCGGTTGAACCGTCGTTAAACGCGGAAGAACGGGGAACACTTCTTTTGAGTGTGACGCGGCCCGCACAGAACCTCCTGGCGGTAAAGTCGCTGCGGGGCGTCGACACTCTCCCAGATTGTAGCGCAACACCTGCAGAAAATAAAGAGCTGCAACCAGTTGTGATGGAGGAGGCGGTTGGTAACCCGCTCGGTATCCTGCCACGTGCGGCATGCACAGACATGCAGGAGGCCGGGTGCGGGTTTCATGCCACGAATGAAGGGCCCACGCACGACGAGACACAAAGTCCCGTGCCTGGTGCAGACGTGACCACCGCTGATGCCGTGTACGTGCCACCCGAGGAAGACCCTCAACGTGCGCTGGAGGCGACGCTGATGGAGGAGCGTGCATGTCTTGAGAAACTACAGGACGCATCGAAGGATGTGATTTAGGCGGCAAATTTTGCCGCGTCACACTTGGTGTGCAACCTCCCAATCACGTAAAGATCCAACGGCGCTTACGAGCACTGCCTTGCCTTCTCTGCAGGCGGATACGCACACAGCCCAGGCTTCCGACAAGCAGGACGCAACAGTCATGTCTGCGTTGGGGGCCTCGGTGAGGTCCATGAAGGATGAGCGTGAAACCTCGCGGTGACATGTCACTCCTTTCTTTTCATTGTATGTATGTGTAAGAAATTGTTATTGCCGGTTTTTTTTTTCATTTCTGCCCCATTTTTCCCTTTTACTTTTTTTTTGTTTTGGTTTGTGCATTGCAACGGAGCCTCGATTTACGTGTGCGTGTGTGTCACCGGCCGCACGCCCCCCCTACCCCGCCCACACCCCACGAATGAGCTCCTGGGAAATGTGTGGGGGAGGCATATACATTTTAGTCCTCGTTGAAATTCTTTTATTTTAAATAAATATATTTATTGCGTGTTTTGTTTGGCGGGCATTGCAGGGCGGGTGGTGCCGCACCGCAGGGACGAAGCAGCGGCGAGGACGGCCATAATTGACCTGAGCGAGATGTGAGGGGCCACCCGCGGCTGCGGTGACAGAAAAAATTTGGTTTGTGTTTGTGTGCTTGAATCGTCTGTTAAATTTTTATTGAAGTCTTTTTTTGTTTTTTTTTGCTTTTGCAGTCCACCCCGCCCCTTTCGCTGTGCCCGCTGTGTTACATTCACCCGCGTGGTTGCTCGCAGCCGCGGGCAAGGGGAGGGAGGAGCGGGGGCGGTGGGTGCTGCCATGTGCGCGTTGGCCCCATCCGGATGGGGCT